TTTTTTTTTTTTTGTAGTGCTGGGGCTGGAACCTAGGGGTCTGGCTCATGCTAAACACATGTTATACACTGAGCCACACCCCCGGCCCCTAGGGTATGTTTTCTAGAATAGGACTGGCCTGTTCTCACAGGAGCTAGATCCACCATGCTGTGGTGAATAAGCATGAATATGAAATGAATAAGCATCAGAATGTTTAAACAGGGTGAACAGTGAAATGCTTTAGTCTAGGGCTCTTTATGGAAGGCACACAGCACTTGTGCAGGACACCACACCTGGGTCTGAGGACAGGAGCTCCACCAGGAAGCCTTGCTGTCTGTCTCCTACTCTCCTTCTCTCTAGGAGGCTGGGCGTCTGGAGATTCCTGTGTGTGCAGCTGGCTGGGTTCTGTTTGAGCAGTGCACAGGCTGTGGGATCCTGAGCACTGCCTTACAGTGACAGCTTTCCCTCTCTTCCTGCAGGGAGATGACAGTCTGTCTGCAATCACCTTTGACTCTGATTTGGAGCTGGTAAGTATAATAGGGATCTGCAGCTCCTGCTGCATCTCCTTGGTGTTGGAAAGTTTCAATCCCTTAGTTGGATTTGGAAATTTGTGATTATAATTTTAAAACTTTTTTCCGGTAATCCTGAGCAAAATTCGTGGAAGCGGATGACTAGTTCCTGTCCTATCTTGTGTCTGGGTTGACTGCAAGATATTCTGGGTGGCAGAGGAAGCCAGCCAATTGCTCTTTCAGTGAACAAGCAAAAACAATGAGTCTCATTGCAGACCCAGCACTGGCACAACTCCACTCTACCTTGGGCAGCCCCTGCTCTCCTGTCTCCAGGGAGGGACCTCTCTACCAAGTGACCTCACTGAGGATGCGGGCCCAAGAGCTGCCTGGGGAAGTAGTGACCTAAACCAATCCCAGGCAGAAGTGCACCCTGTTCTGCTGTGGTGTCAGGTTTGTCACAGAAGAGTCCTCCTCACAAGGTCATTCCTTGACGGACTCTTCCTTCAGGGATTTTGCAGGTGCCTTACTTGCATGGTTGGCTCAGACAGAAGTATGCCCCAATGCTCCAGAGAAGCACTGGGAGAAGACCCACATTCGTGTGAGATCCTCCTTCCAAGGCCCAGGGCCTGGGCCCTGGTGTCTCCCCATATCCACGAGAGCACCATGGTGCCCTGGGTCTGCCCTGCAGAGTAGGCACAAGTCTCACTGAGCTCAGCTTTCCCTCATCCCCACTCTGAACACAGGAGGGCTTCATGCTGGGAATATAGTGGGACACATGGGGAAGGAAGCTTAGCCTGCCTCATATCTCTTCTTCCTTTCAGAAGACAAAGTGGAAAGGTTTGCACAGACCTCCTCCCACATCACCAAGTAAGTGCCACCAAGTCTCCCGTCCTCTGATGTCCACACTGTAACCCTGGAGAATTTCCAAGAGCTGCCCTTTTCTTCAGTCCTGGAGCCAGTCAAAGCCTTTTCCTCCAGTGCAGATACGGTGACAGCAAAACCACTTTCGTTTGCCCTGTCCTGGGGTATTCTTGGGCTGTCCTGAGATGAGGCTTCTGAATGGGGCCTGGCCACTGCCCTGCTCAGCTTCCCATGAGATATGCAGCACTTCGTGGCCTGCTTGGGGCCCTGTGCTGAAAGGTGTGGGCATTCAGAGACAGGGCCTTTCTGTTCCTTTTGGGGTCTCCCAGGTTCAGTCTGCTGCCGTGATTCTTCTCTTTCACATCCTCAGCAGAATAAGGAAAGCTTAGTCCCATTCTTGGATGGCCAGGAGGTAGCACCCACAAGAAGAGGCTGCCAAGATGGGGCTCGTCCAGACGCCAGCAGGGCCTCTTGATCCATCTCTGCTGTCACCTTGCTCTGAGCAGAGCCCATCTCACCTGCATGAATGTGTTTATGGCAACATGAAATCCCATACTAGCTTCCTTTTGCCTTCCAAGGGCCTGGCCTTCCCTGACCTTGCCCTGTGTGTGTGTGTGTGTGTGTGTGTGTGTGTGTGTGTGTGTGTGT